TGAATTAAATCATGTTTAGAAAATCCATGTCCTTAGCCTTACTGGTAACTCGTAAGCTTAAAGCAGTGATTTTCCATTTTCATTGTATGCAAGTTAGTATGTGAAGGTTTTGGCATGCAACAGAAGGGGGCAGAAGTTGATGGAGTTCTTGAAGTTGGGGAGGAGTAGTAATGTTGTGATAGAAGAAGAACAGATATAGAAAGATTGTCTCAAAAATTTCAGAAGGTGGGTTTCTAGTGAGTTTAGCTTCTGGAATTAGTTTGTTAAAAGTGAGTCATGTTTTCGATCACTTTATCTGGTTTTTGTTCATTTCATGTACAACTATTATCAACTGCCAACTTTTAATGTCACTTTTATTTTTGTAGGGAAATGAAACTAATCTTGAAGTTGAAGACTTGTTGTAGACTTGAGCTGTTTATTTTTTTGCTTTGGAGATAAATTACGAGACTTGGTTTAAATCAAGTGATGCTGGAGAGAGTAAATGTAAATCAAATGATGCTGGAGAGAGATTTGAATTGCTAGATTTATGTATGAAGCTTTTTGTATTTTAAAAATTAATGGTAATGAGTGAAAACATTAATTATTATTAATTATTATTAATGTTTGTCCAAAGTCCTAGAATCCAGTACACTAAGATTTACTTCGTTAGGTTTGAATTTTGATTCATATTTGTCAGTCACATTTTGCTTTTTAATCTTAGATGTTTAAAAAAATATTTTCAATTATGTTTTACGGTTATTGGTTAACCGGTTCGTGGTTAACCGAGGTTTCGGTTAACCGATACTCGGTTAACCGAAATTTTGGTTAACCGATACTCGGTTAACCGAAGTAACAAGTTTTTCGGTTAACCGGAAAGTTGGTTAACCAAAATACGGTTAACCAACCATGCCCAGCCCTAGTAAAGAAGCATACTACGTAACAAGTTGTTTGATTCTGATCCAAAGCGGTCATTTTCTCAAATTAATTGGATTTAAGAAAAATCAGTGGAGCATGCACCAAGCTATTTTAGTGAAGGAAAATCTTCCTGTTGTTGATTTAGACCATAATTTCTAAGTTATTACAAATTATTAGTATACTCCTATAACACCGTGATTTGCTGACTTTTCTAAAAGAAAAATTATTTGCTAAACCCTGTTTAAAGCCATATAATTAAGTATAATAAGCCAATTAATGTAGACAGTATAAAATAGATACGCAAATTGTTTTTATGTTCATAGCTTTTCTTCAAATTTTTAATTACAGTTTGAATAATGAGAAAGTAAATCTTTATCTAAAGATGTATGAGAAATATATCTTAAACCATTACACACATAAATAATTTAACACAAAATATATCTAGAAATGCATATGGTTTTTGCCATGAAGCACCAATAGAGTTAGGAGTGATGATAGTCAAGTAAGCACAACACTACAAACGGGGTAGAGTAATTTTATCTGCAAACAAAGAGATTGTCTCGTAAGATAATATTGACTTTTGAAATCATACGAAGAACTATTTGGTATCTTTCCCCACCAAGGACATACATTTTGGTTTTGATTTGAGGGATTTGACTTTACATAGACTGTTTGAGTGATAATGGACTTTGTGATCCATTAAAAAATTGACTTTGCATCTCGTTCAACAAAAATCTTCACAAAATGTTATATGATGAGATACAAAGTCAAAGGATGTTTAAGTGAAATGAGGTGCAAAGTCAATTTTTTTTAATTGGGGGGCAAAGTCAATTTGTAAATGGGGTGCAAAGTCTAATATCATCCAAAAAGTGAGGTGAAAAGTTAAATTCATCCTTTGATTTAATAGTGGAAAACCTTCACACACCACAATTTGAGTCCCTGATTTTGCATTGACCACTAAAAAATTGATTTTATTATGTTAGTGTTGTCCACATGATTTTATTGTTTGCCCTTCTCTTATGTTAGTGTTGTCCACATGATTTTATTGTTTGCCCTTCTCTTTTAGTGAGCGAAATATATTTGTAGTTTCACTTATGTACATAGCAAATAGCAAATAGATAATTTTTTGCAGATTTGAACACTAAATCCATTGGGCATCTACTTAATCGCGCATCGTGTGATGCAAACTAGTCTTTACAATAATGGGGAATTGGTGATACATTTTTGAAAATTTTACAATTTGAAAGCTACGATAATTTTAGTCTCCCAAGTGTCGTTAGTAAAACGCCTTGAGATCGAGAAATCCACTTTTTCCACCCATCTCGAAGCATTTCCTATTAAATCATGCCCTTCATCAGCGCACGTATGGGCGTAGATAGGGGCCAACCTAGATCACGACCTATCTCAAATTTTAAAAAATGCCTATATTTTGTTGGGTAAAAAAATTCAAGTAAATTTTTTTTCCGATTTTTTTTATTGCTCCAATGCATTAGCGGCCTCCGCCCATGAGGGCAAGACAATCTAAGAGGATTCACATCATGCCCAACCCTAGGCTTGAGTTGAGCTATGGTTCAACCGCATATCATTTATACTTTAGTTTATTTAGTAAATTAAAACCAATTACTAAAAAGTAACCTTTTTTAAAAGGACCAAATTGTGATTAAGAAAGTTGAATATTTGAAAAAATAAGTGATTGTTAAATTTTATATTACTGTCACATTTTTATGTCACTCAAATTTTTATGTCACTTTGAATTGTCACGCTCAGATTTTCATGTAACTTAACGCACGTCACTGCTTGTTAATCATGTAATTATTGAAAAAAATTCCGGAGACTTTTTTCAATAAAGTATTATACTCTCCAACGTTTCCGCACATTGAAACCGCCGCCCCACCATCACCTATACCACGATTGTCGCCTATAAGGATGACACCGCCTACTGCCCCTACTCCAGCCCTCCCCTGCTCTCCCATAGCTATCCAGCCCTATCTGCACCCAAGCCCGCCCAAACGTCACCACCTGACCCACGCCAGCCTCACCACCACCTAACCCGCTCCAACGCCACCCATCTCCGACACCACCTTTAATTTGCAACTCGCCCTACCCCCGACCCTAGCTGCTACCTCCAGCCCACCAACCCCCTTCGCGTCGCTGCCCTAATTTCACAGTCGGAATGCTGTTGCCGCCCTCAAAATGAACTCTAACAGTTAGATCTGACGCTATAGCTTGGCTGTGATGGAGATTGGGGTTGCAAGTGGCGGCATAGGTTGGGTGACAAAGGCTTATGACGTTGAGCGTGGAGGACATCAATGGCGGCAAAGTGAGGACATCAATGGCGGTAAAGCGAGGACATCAATGTCGGCAAAGCTTGTTGGACTCCTATCTGCCTCCCCATCGAACATATAATAAAGAGATAAAATAGAAATCCAGCGTGGAATAGGAGAGGGCGGCAGCCGGCAAGGTTGAAGATGGTGGTGAGCCCAGCTGAGAGGTCTCAGGTTCAATTCTCAATGGAGTGAGATAAATCACAATTTACCCTAGCACCGCAAACCTCCTCCCCGACGCCCCTGAAGTAAAATAAACAAAAAGAAGAAGAAGAAAGAATGCGGGATATGCCAAGCTTGAAGGAAAGAGAAGCTGCGCCCAAGAGAAGCTAAATGGACGGGGGCAGCCCAACAGATATGAATTTTCTAATAATTTCAATCGCATAATTTTTATTGTTTTTCTTTCTCAGCTAATTCAATGAGTGCAAAATCCATTAAAACAAAGGTACTCCAAAATTTCAATCATATAATATTTATTATTCTTATTTCTCACCCAATTCATAGAGTGAAAAACCCAATTGAACAAAGTAGTACTACATACTCCTTTCGTTCTTTAATATTAGTCCTCTTAGACTTTGGCACGAGTTTTAAGAGGAAAATAATAGGAGTAGTGTAAAAGGTGTAATGAGTAATAGGTAAATGAAAAAGTAGAAAAGAGAAATGAGTAATGATAAAAGTTAGGAGTATAAATGTATATTGATTTTAAAAACTTTTCTTAAATGAAAAGGAGGACAAATAAAAAAAAGGTCCAAAATGGAATGGAGGACTAATAATAAAGAATAGGGAGTACTCAATATTGAATCTTTTGATCAACTGAAGTGACAAATGCTACTCCCTCCGTCCCCTCAAGTTTGTCCCGTTTTACCTTTTTCGTCTGTCCCACTAAGTTTGTCTCATACCATATTTGGTAACATTTGAGTGGTTAGAATTCATTTTTACTTTATTTACACTTTATCAATTCAATACCAAACACACAATTCCACTTTTTCTTAAAAACCACACCACACTTAGGGGGACGGAGGGAGTAATACGGAGTATCTATTTTAATCATGAAAAATTTGAATGGATTTGTGTAAAATTGTACTACACGTAGAATAAACCTATGTTGCGAAGAACCAACTCATTTTAAATTATTTTCCAGAACTGAATATAAAGTGCTAAAAATATGAATATTAGCTTACTGGTGAAATAAGCTCTCAGTTAATTACGCATAAAATCACCATGATAAACACATGTTATAATAGAAATAAAATAATTTATTATATTCAGATCCGGGCACTCAAATAGTGTTACAATGCGACTGTAACATTTCAGTTAATCTTTAGCATAATATAAATCTGATCAGACCAGTTTAGATCTGATGTCAATAAAATTTGTAATTGCTTATACTTTTACGGAGTACTATTATTATTACTCCCTAAATTATTATTACAAACTACAAACTACAAAGGATAAACTTTCCATGACGGGGTGGAGATTTTTTCAAGTCACGTGACTTTTGAGAATCTCTTCCCGTCAAAGCCGCTATCTCGAGTCCACCTATTCCGCTTACTGCCCCCCGAAGCACATGGCCTTGGGTGACAAACAAAATCCTTCCCTACCGCTAGCTGTAAAGCGAACCCCCCCACCCCCACTACCTTATCTTCCCAACTCACAGATGTTCATGCCCGAGTATTCGGAGCAGATTAGGGTTTATACCAACAAATTCCCCCAAAATTCCTTATCTTCTTTTACATACGGAGTACAATGATATTGAATCACTTTTTCATGATTTCAAATTCCGTCAGTTTGAGTTTAATGCTTTGGATCAAAACAAGGGATTGGGAAATCGAGAGTAAAAATATAATGATATTTCCATAACAGTATCAAGAGTAATACAAATAATATAGCAGTAGTAGATATCATCACAAATAGTAACAATGAACAACAATAAGTCAACAACGAATCGAGGTCAGTCAATGTACCCACTCTCCCCTCAATCGCCACCGATAAACACCGCCCCCGCTCAAAGCCGGAGCAATAAACGAAAGTGAAACAAAAAACAAAAACATATAGCTAAGTGAAAAAACCTAAATCGTCAGATCCAGCGAATGTGACAGGAGGCTCCGTCATCCCGCAGATCCGAGAGTTTAGAACAGCAGTGAGGCGGCGAGGAAAGCTGCCGCTGCAGATCCGGCAAGTGCGACTCTGTTCAAAGCGGCAGCGCTGTTAGCATTCGGCGCGAGCGCAGGTGAACCGCCAGGAGATGCGATTGTTGAAGGAGTTACACTGCTTGGACCCGTGGCCGTGGTGGGAGAAGAAGCGATGCCAGGGGAAGGCGGAGACGCGGTGGCTGGAGGGGTCTGAGCAGGAGTAGCTGCGGTAGGAGGCGTCGCAGACGAAGATGGCGGAGTGGCGGTCGGAGACGCAACTGGAGTCGAAGCTTTCTTCGGCGCAGGCGAGGCGGGTTTCGTCGGAGAGGCTGCCGGAGCCTGACCTAAAGCAGATCCAACAACCGCCAAAACGAGCAGCGAAACAAGGAAGGCATTAGAGCAAGCCATATCTGATCTTCAAAGTAGAGATGAGATCTGGAGAGAAGATGAGCAAATATCACTTCAAACAGACGGTAAACTCTCGAAGAACAATCTAGATCTGGCGTTGTTGATCGGAGAATAAAGGAGTATATATAAGCGACAAAGAGGAAAGATGGGGAAAAAAAAAGAAGCCGAATAATTTGTGGAAAATAATTAAAAAGAAAACCAAAGGTCGGTTTGAAAATTCAAAATAAAAAATAAAATTTGAAATAATTAACTGTAACTAATGATTAGCGGACAACGCACCAGCGCTGGGTCTGCGTTTTACACTAGCTGTCACGCCTTACTTGCCTGTCGAGGAACGTGGGCCGTCCACGTTTACGGGCCTCTGATCTGACGGCTGGACACGAGTCAAGGTAACGCGTTAAATGACTTTTGACGCCGTCTATCTTCAAACTTCGTACGCCGAGTTATTTATTGATATAGACGGAGTATAATATACCCTGCAATAAATAAATGCATACAAAATAGACAATTCTTGTTACCGTTGTGATTGCCACGTTCCAACGGCAATTACAAAAAGAACGGATACAGAACTTTCTCGGTGAGATAGAAATTTCATCTGATGGATTTTTGAAATTAAGGACCTCGTCCATAGTCATATATTCTCGATTTATGAGTTTTATCAATTAATATTTTATCAATCACATAGTTTCTCACATCAGAATTGATAAATAGTTAAAATAAATCGGGTCGAAATTATTTTTCTGATTGAATTGATTAAAGTTACTGTAGAACATCAATTTAACTATTTTTATAAAAAAAAATCTTAATTATATAAACAAAATATATTTTAAAACATATTATGTAGAATATTTTTCGTAATTCAACACATTCAGTCCATGTATGTAGTCATTTCGATTAAAATTTCATAAATTTCAGTCAAAGCGTAATCAAACGGACTATAAGTTTTGTATTATTGAATTGAATGATTTGAATCTAATACTTATCGTAAATAATAAAGTTCTTTTTGGTCGATATAAATGAAGTGTGACAACCTCATAATGCTTTTCGGTTAAATTTTTATTGATGTTATACGGATATGAATATATGCTGATACATACGTTGATGCAAGTACGAGAATACATTAAAGTTAGAAAACGGAGTATAGAATATCCTACAACAGTAGTATACGTGGTATTAGAGCCTCTTTGATAACATTAAAATTGACTGAATTGGTTGATTATGCTGAAATTTATGAAGTTCTGGCTGAAATGGCTATATTGACAAATTCTGCTGATATATGAAAAAATTATATTTAAAATATTTGTTATTAATAAATTAAATAAAAAATTATATGAAACAATAGTTAAAATGATTCTTTACAATAACTTCAGCCAATACAGCTAACAAAGTAACTTCAACCTTATGTTTTCTGCTTATTACAAAATTCAGCGCGCGAAATCAAAACTTACATGTTTGGTGAAAAAGCTGGCTGATAACCCCAGCCGAAAAAATGGGTCACCAAACGGGGTTTTAATCATTAAACTGTTGTATAACATGAAATCTCAAATGTCAAGGCCGTTTTAGTAATTTATAAATTAAATGTTTGCACGCGAAATAATTGAATATCAAGTTCTTATCCTCCTCAATCTAGATGTGTGCAACGACTGTACTATCTTCATTTTGTAATTATTTAGTTTTATTCTAAATTATTTTACTGAAATGGATATGTAAGGTGTGATAGTAAGTGTTTGTCTCTGTACATACTATTTCAATGTATTCTTACAAGTTCGACGTACTTGAATTAGTCTTCTTATTATTGTGACCATGATGAATTGATGATCTACAACCTTCCTACATGTATTCATTTTGCTATAATGTGAAAGAAAGTAAATTAGTACGTAAACTCTGGACAAATGTTGTTTAGTATCTAATAAAAGCACATAACCAAACCGGTCTTGATTAGGTATTACCGTATTATTTAGGTTTTATAGTGGTTTTTTTACGTTAAAAGTGAATCAATTTTGATTATTTTTTATAACGATTCCACTATATTGTACTCTTTCTGTTCAGATTTTGTCAATTTTTCTTTTTTGATTGCCACTAATTTTGTCACTTTCACTTTTAAGCAAAGAACTAGTGATTCTAATTAAATCTCTCTCATTTGCACAAATATGAACCACACAATTTTTACTTTATTAATCTTTGCGCTGGTCAAACTCATCAGAAGTTTTAAAGACGGAGGGAATACAAATTATCGAACCTTATATAATAGTTTTCCGGATATTTCAATTTTTATTTTTGGTAGAATAGCTAGTTGGACAAGTGAATAAGGTGAATAAGTGAGTAACTTATTCGTAATAACATGTTAAAAATGTGAATTCAATTCATTGTTTTTAAGAAGTTCGTGTGTCGATCTGATGGAATGTTTCTTGAACCCAAGGCTTAATTGAAAATTTAGTGGTAGCATAAATGCCCCATTTAACCATTTTAACTTTTCCTTTTGTTGACATGTTTTAATCCTCATTTCTCTAGATTAATCACAGGCTCCCAAGTCCCAAACAACTTAACAACAAAATAGATTAATGCCAGTGCCTCATAGCAATCTTCAATCTTTCCAACGTCTTCTAATTTGAACAAATCATGTGAGAGTGAGACTAAACTTTGAGACTAAGGGGTTGTTTGGATTCCAGCGGTTTGTGCCCAACCCGTTGCTAATAGCAGAGTTTTCCTTTTGTAAAAAAAATGACGTTTTGCCAATATCCGAACAACCCCTAAATTCTTATCAAGTGTTCACATTTTAAGGCTACTTGTCCACTATCTCAATGGATAATAATGAAGTGGAAGATTTGATGGAGAAACTTTAGAAAATATCTAAAAGTAATTCTTATTTTTGGGTAAAGTATATTCTTTTTTACAAAACCCCTAATTTATGGAACAAAGTAGCTCATGAAAGTCTAAAGTTTAAACCTAATATTGTTAGACGTAATATATTGTCATTGACTAATTATCAAAATAAAGGTATACTTGAATTATACAACTAATCAAGGACGATAGTTTATTGTATCAGCAGTTTTAGACCCGTAGTCCTTGTAAAGTTGTAATTTATTGATGAATGTTTAGGTGTTTATAAGAATTAATAACTTTGCGTTAGTGCATGTTGATATTCGCTTCATTGATCTATACATAAAATTGTTAATAACATCTTGTGTGTCTTCAGCAAAAAGAAGAAAAAACAAACATAAGTGTGTAACATGATCGGTTAAATTTATTAGTTGATTAGCCAAATAATAGTTGAGAGAATTCCCCAAATAAGAGTAAAAGATAGGCAAAATGCAAAAATAGGAGTACCATGTTTTGAATAGGAGTAACTTTAGTGTTTAGACAAATATATCCATACCCAAGTCCCAACAACTTTCATTAATAATTAAAACATAAAAGGAATAACATTAATTTATAATAAAATTGTAAAAAAAATGAAAAAACACAAAAATATATCAAATAAAACATACTTGGTATTAAATAAAATTAATAAACATAAAAATTATTAAAATAAAAAATATTAAATAAAAAATAAAAAAAATAAAAAAAAATATGTAGGCATCTGACGCCGCCTCAACAACCTCCCAGCACCACCAGATCTGACCACCAAAAAATGCGAACATTTTTCCGAAATTCCATCATGATGGCAGATTTTGAGAAAATTTGGCATTTTCAAAGAGCAAAACTGCCATCTTTATGGCATTTTCAAAGAAAAATGGAAGTTTTAACATAAGATGGCATTTTTTCCGTCGATCGGAGGTGACATTGCTGGGTGATGGCCGAGGTTGCGGCAAAGGCCTGCATAATTTTTTATATATTTTAATGTGGTTTATCTATTTTTTATTTATTTTCAAAACTTTTATTTTAAAAAAAAATATTTTTTTGATTTTTATTATTTCAATATATATTTTCAAATATTTTAGATTTTTTTATATTTTATTAGGATCAAATAAGTCATATTTTAGAATTAACTAGGTTAGGGGTATTAAGGGTACAAAATTAATGTTTACTCCTATTGAAGGAAGTTTTAAGTTTCACTTTTATTTGTGCAATTATGTTTATGTTTACTCCTATATTGAACAACTTTCTCATAATAGTTTCGTGGTTTTAAATTGAATCAACCAACTTTTATCTAATTCATTCTTAATGACATGTGGACTGTGGACATTTGTAAATTTGTTACCCCGAATATCTTTTTTTAAAAGAACTTTTGAAAAATTACTCGATTTCAGAAAACCGGTACCATTTTGGCATTTTGCTAAAAAGATTTGCGTAGTTGTCCCTCTATGTATATTTTCTTTTGATCTGTTTTCACTTCCAGGTCAAAGTTAAACAGATCAAATTAAACCAAATCAAACTTAAACGACCCAGATCAGTCCAAACTTGGACAATTATAAATAGACAAAGACAAATCATTTATCAACACCAGACCAGTTCAGATCAGAATTAAACAGACCAAATCAGACCAGCAAATTACGATCATAAAATTTGTTTGTCACTCCACTTTTATGAAAATGAATTGTAATTTATATAGAGAATTAGGTTTCTTATAGAAAGGTTTAAAATGTGGTGACATTAATATACTCTAGTACTCCACTAATATTAACTACCACTCTAAATAATAATGATTACCACTTTCCCCTCATCAACATTGAGACACGAATTGTAATTTCTATCATCACTTCTAAATTTTTATAGAAAGGTTTGAAATGTGGTGACATTACTATACTCCACTAATATTAACTACCACTGTCAATAATAATAATTACCACTTTCACCTCATCAAACTTGAAAGAGATAATGTGATTATTAAGAAAAATGAATTTATGTGATTAATAATAATTGATGAAGACTAAGATAAAAATGACGACTGCCACACCGGCAGTATCATAGCAACTCAACTCTTAGTTCTCCCTAAGAAGAGAAACGCTACTTGTCCACACCGGTTACACGCTCTATGTATAAACAATTCAGGATCACAAACACTTCCCTTTATTAAATTTAAAATCAATTATCCTTGCACAAACAATTACACTTGAACATTTAAACCAACGTGTAACCAAACATGTACCATTTCTCCCCCAAGAATTATGAGAAGAGTGGAAGCGAGTAGGGGTGGACTCGGGCCGGGCGGCCCGATCACTGTTTGAACCGGCCCAAACCGCCGGCCCGGCCAGGTACCGGTCCGGGTAGGCCCGACCCGCTGGGGTTCCGGGCCGGGCTCGGGCCCCTGAAAAAGTGAACCGGCCCGGCCGGTTCGGGTCCGGGCCAATTTATTTATTTTTTCTTTTTTTTGAATTTTTTTAAGTTTTTGGGTTGGGCTGGGTATTTTGGGCCATTTGGGATGGTTTGGGGTGAGGGGGGAGGGTTGGGGGTTAATTAGAAAAAGCCCAAACAAAAGTTAAACCGAGGCTCAGCCCAGCCCGGCCCGAACCGGACCCGGGGGTTACTCGGGCCGGTTCCAGGCCTCCCCTTTCATGAACCGAGGCCCGGCCGGGCCCAAGCCCGAACCGGCCCGAGTCCACCCCTAGAAGCGAGGCGGCTTTCATTATTCTCGTACCACTCAAGTAGTCAAGTTGACTCACTTCCCCCAATTCCTCATGGATTGGATGGATCAATTTATGGATCATCAAGTAACAAGTTAAAGTGGCTAACTTATGGATCAATTTATTTTCATTATACAAGAATCATGCACAGGTTTTTTGTACTCTCTCCACCGCCAATGCTTTATCAGAACACACTTTTTATGAGGGAACAAAACACGTATACAACTCCAGTGTGTGCCCCAATAAAGGATCCTTTTCCGTTTCTCTTCAAGTAAACACAAGTACACAACTTTACAAATCCAAAGACTAAATGAAAGTGGAAAAATAAGAACAAAATAAATGGGCTTCCATGCAAACATGAGATGGAGAGGTTGTAGAATTACAAATCTCTATAGAGAAGACTCAACATAACTTCTCACGTAAAAAACTTAATTCTTAGGGAGTTAGGGGGTGACGTTTCTGTATTTCAAAAACTTTTAGGAAACCTTTAGAATTACCTTTCCTGCAAATTGTGTTCCCCTTCAAGTGTTTCATGTGTTCGTGCTTGGGTAGATGGAAAGTAATATCAGAAGATGGAATTTGAATTTTTTTTCCTTGGGGCGTCTTCTCTGCACTGTAGCACCACATAGCACTGGATATTTGCGGGGAGAAAGAACAGATTCGCCCTAAACTATAAATCAGAATACAAATATACCCCTCAACTTCCTTGGAACGCTTAAACACAAAACTGTAAAATCGGAACAAACATACCCTAGTGTTTAAATTATTGAGGGGGTATGTATGTTATCTAATATAGATAGTTCAAGGGTATATTTGTTCTAATTTTACAACTTTTGTGTTAAATTGTTCCAAAAAGGAAGCAATTGACGGGTATACGTAAATGTTATCTGACATAAAGTTCAACCCCCAACCCACACACACCCGCAAATGAAAGATAACCAACAGATATTCCATAGACTGCTTTATTTAACTGCAGAATTTTCTGAAGCTGCAGTGGCTTCAGCAATCAAAAGAACAGGTTGCCGAGCCTGCAAACAAGCACCTATGTCGAAAGGGCGCAATTCAAATCCATCAAATAGAAGATTGACACCCGGATGAATCACTTCTTTACTCTCAGTATCATCTGAGTCAACTTTTACATTACTCGTTGAGGTAGATTCATCAACTACTCTGGTAGCAGCCTCATATACTGGAGTTAAAGCATAAGATCTGCATTGACCAATTTGCAATATTGTTAGATCACAGTGGCAGAGCCACACTATGAGTTGTGGTGTCAATTGACACCACTCAACTTTTTTTCCTTCATATATAGGTATATATAATTTTTCAAAAAATTAAAATTGACACCAGTGAAAAAAATAAAAATTGTTTAAAATAAGACTATAACATACACAAAGTAAAACAAATAAGAATTATTGTGTTTTATTCTCCAAATAGGGCTTATTTAGTTCTATCAAAAGAATAACATGATTAAAACTTCCAAAAAATGAGCGAATGAGCCCTATTTTGAGAATAAAATATTGATATTCCTATTTATAAATTTTATCTATGTTTTAGTCTTATTTAGATGATTTAAAAAAACTATATACAGAGTATAAATATATAATCTTTCAAAAATTAAAAATTGACACAACCATTTAAAAAATGGAGGTCAGTGTATATATTTTAGAAGTTGGAACACTAACTTAAAAATAATTGAAAAGTAGTGTACAATTTTACTTATTACTACTAACTCCATCCCATTTTATGTGTCTTGTTTTGGTTTGACACAATTATAATATAGTGATTGAAAAAGTAATAATGTTAATCAAATTTGAGTATAATAAATTGAAATGTTGTCGACAACATATTCTTTTTTAAAAGAAGAAACATGACACCTATTTTGGGATAATCCAAAAAAAATTAAGACATGTAAAATGAGACAGGCGATACTTTATTAAAAATATTACTATATTAGACAAGGTGTTATAGTCTTCTTTCTTTAAAGTTTGAATCAATTGATCAAAACTTGATAGAAAAAATGTATAACATTTTTAAAATATGAAAATGCGATGTGCTCAATTTTGAATTAGCATTTCAATTTTATAAATGACAATTTTTGTTATTTTGCTTTATAATATTTATACATTTTGATATAATAATTATTTTCTAAATTGACACCACTGATCTTAGATCCTGGCTCCGCCCCTGAATAGGTCATTTATTAGACCAAGCAAGATCTAGTTGATGACAGGGGAGGGTAACATAAGTACATGAAGGGGAATAAGTACATTTTTGCCTAGAACTTTCTTTCCAGGGGACATCCAGGGGACAGAGACATAATGAAGCAACTAAAGCTGCATTCTAACCGAGCATGGAAAAAGCATGGAAGATATATTTGCAGTCTGAGTAACATTCTAATTAATTAAGTGATTCTACAATAGACCTTTCAAAATAAGTTCTACTTTTTCCATAATCTCAGAAAAGCATACCAGTACTTTGGATTTAACTGTCTTTTGAAGAGTCGTTTCCAATTTGTTCTGATACGCTATTTAAACAGATCATTATATTAGGGGTGAGCATGAGACGGTACGGGACGGTTATTTCGAAAAACTTGTCCCGTCCCAAAGTACGGTTCTTTTAAAAATCAAGAACCAGTATCGTCCCGCATATTTATAGAACATGTCCCGTTCCATACCAATTTTCGGTACAGTTCGGTACGGTTCTTCAGTGTTATTTAGTTCGTAAATAATTAACCCCCATGAAATATAAAAAACTTTAGATTTTAACATTTATAAATAACTCTACAAAAATTTAAGAGAAGAACTTGAAAGACTACATTTAATTGATTTTGTGTGATCAAATTGAAATATGAAACTAATAATCAAACTATAATAAAGAAAAGTAATATCCAAACCAAACAGCAAAAGTGATCGTCAAACTGAAAAACCAAAAAGTATCACATCACATGACAAAGAATATGCAAGATTGCACATTTGTAATGACATACGGTCACTAACATTTACACTCGGTAAAATATATTATATATAATATATAATTATATTATAACACTAGTTTTCGGGACAATTCGGTACGGTACGAGACGGTTCGGTTCAATACGGTTCTAGAACGGTTCTCACTAAGAACCGGTACCGTACCATCTTATTAAAAAAGCTCGGTACGGTACAATACGGTATTACATTTTTCCGGTTCTATCGGTTCTGGAACGGTTCGGGACGGTTCTTCGGTACGGAACGGGAATTCCCAGATCCGCGCTCAGCCCTACATTATATATAACCTAAAAAGATAGTTTTTCAAAAAGAATTAAACTATTTCATTTACATTTTGAAGCACAGTGTAAATCTTTAGCCTAGTGTGCTTGCAGAAGTACATAAGCTCAGAATAAGCTCATCCAAATTAAGTATTGTAGCTTTACAGAGATATACTTTCACAAATTCCCAAAAGATGTCAAACATAGAGCACATAAGTTTCATGCATTCATTGACATTAACTGTTAAAGGAGCTATAAGGCAAAGAAAAAGTGTTTACTGTAACATATAAGAAGACAATAATATGCCTTGTGCACCAAATGAAGCACAAAAAAGAAACTTGTGAATTTGAACAAAGAATGATAAGACTTACCTCAAAATATTGCCATCAAAGCTCAAAACTTCTGTCCGGCATCGTTGTCTATTAGCAAGTTTTAACCTATGGTGTTCACTCATGGTTCCAGAAATGGGAGATGAAGGATCCACAAGAGGGTTCCACCTTCCACTTGCATAGGTCATAAGCTGCCGAGGTGATTCCTTGTATTGCTCTTTTTGGTAAAGTAGCCTTGCTGCCGGACCTGTTGCTCGGTATTCATCGCACACACTCCGCAACGTCTTTCTCAATTCCTGCATGGCATCACGATGCCCAGTAAATAGGTCCATTTGGAGTAATTGTGATGAAACAACCCTCTTACATATGTTACTGCATAACCTTGGACTAAATAGTGGAATACCAAATTCCACACTCATTGGAACCCATTCATACTTAGCATCGTCTGTAAAACTTTCTGCAACTCTTTCTTTGAAAAGCCTTATCAAACGAATATAACCAATGCTCCAAAGATTCAATTTTTTTGCAAGATCAGTTAAAAGCGTGTTCAAATTGAGACACTGTTCAGAGTGCAGCCCCATTTCTTCCCCTATGTTAGCAGTTGAGCCATCAGAGTTCATCAACGGTAATGGAATCTCCAAGGTAACAATTTTTCCAGCTTCGTCAAGATCATATCTGCTGAGAGGCTGGACAAGCACAGCAGCATATTTAAGAAGGGAATTCAAACAGTGCAAAAGTATACTCCCTTTTACTAAATTCCCTTCGGGTTTCCCCCCTAACCCACCAACAGAAGATCCATCCCATGACCATATAAGGGCTTTTTCACAGCCTGCTAATGGTGCTGGAAGCATCCTTAAGCACTGCCCTTTCATTAAAACAACTGATAGAGGTCCACACCCCATAGCTGAATACAGGCTCAATTTCATCCAGGGTGTCATAGATGAATAGGAGGGAGGTCCAAAATGAAGGGGACCTTTTGCTCCAGGCAAAACTGCGGAAGGAGGAAGTGGAACCATGGATACAATGATGTCATAGTCCCGCAGAAACAGGCGATCCAAAGTTACTGGTGAGAGAGCAGCCAGGCTTTCACAGCGGAGGACGTCAACACGGTAGCTTCTCTGTGTCACTCTTCCCTTCCCAACATCTACACTCTCAGTAGTTACCAGTTTTTCTTCAAGTTGAGAACTAAGAACTAATTGAGGATCCCCATCTCCAGATGTAATCTCTAATAAATTATCACTGCCAGAGGTGCCAACTCTGGGTTCATAAGCATCGGTATTGCCTTTGGGAGATTCATTATTAGCACAATCATCAGCGGTTACCCCAGATCCACAAGAAGTAGAATCCCCAGATCTAGCGGCTGATGTAGTTCCCACCATTGAGGTGGTTGCCTCATGGGTGGTACATGACAGAACACCATCCTTAACTCCATCTGTTTTAACCCCACCTGAAGCTAAGCACTCCAGGACACACCAGAGACTAAAAGCATGATTGGCAAATTCCTGCAGCTCTCCTTCAAATTTCGTTCCCTCAAGTGTACTCAAATCCTTGCAAAGATCTGCAATGCTAGCATGACCAAGCTTTCCTGCTTCATATAAGGTCACGGCATGAGATTTTAGACCTGCAAGAGAAATTGGCCATCAAAATATGTATCTAAGAACACAAGCTAGCTTTACTGATTAACAGAGTCAGGTCAGGAACATAAATCAGCACAAACTTTGACTTCCAAAGATGATGTACTACAGGGATTTGGAAAATGTTGGAGTTTAAGATTTTGGAGATCCAAAACTTTTCCAAGTGCATCAACACTTAATGGGGCTCCAGTCTTTGCTGGTTTTCTCTGCCAATGAGAGATATCTCTCCCTTTTCGTCTTTGTAGACAAAATGAAATGAGAATATTATTTTAGGGGGGAAATGAGTGTGGAAAAACCTGGTGAAACAGATCCCATCATAAGATATGAGGTGATATTAGCATCCACGAGAAAAGCAACACGTGTATAACCAGATGCCACACATTGATTTTCTGTAAAAGGAATGTCTCCTTGCACGAAGCCACTACCATCAGTAACATTTCCAGAGCTGAGAGACGCACGGGAACCATCATCCTCGTCAGTAATGATGCTTTTGGGTGAGCCAGGTGCAGTTGAGTCTTGTAGGATAGATGCTGGATCTAGTAGTTTTATAGCCCACCCCAGTCGACAAGCAAAAGAAGCAGCTGCTTGAAGCTGAGAAAGGTCAGCCTGTAAAGTTGTGGCGAGCTCAGAAACAGTAGAATTCTCACTCAACACCACAAAAACAGCATAGAGCAGCCTGAGTAAACAAACAGAAAACCGAAAATTTATTTCTCTATATGGACACCACAATGTTTTTTTAAACTATTTTGTCACTAAGTGCCTTACTCCTCAATTGGATCTTCATAGGATTGCTCCCGGTTTGAAACAAACCCTTCAAGTCTGGAAACTGAAAGATAGTGTGTATCAAAATTCCAGAGCATTTTAACCCAACAAATGAATGATTTAAAATGTTCATAGAAAAGACAAAAGGGAGAAATGAAGATATGGGCTGATGTCCATCTTGTGCCTATCTCATTAGTCATTGATATTCCCAATGAATAGTGTGACACCACAGAAGTCATTTTCTTTTGAACACACAACAAAATAACAAACAAAGCCTCAAGCAATTATAAGCTATGTCGAGAGACTAAACATCCTTAATGGACATACAACATGCCCAGGAGTGTGGTCAATGAAGATTCATATAGTGACAATGATATTCTCATTTGCTGATTGAGCATGCAGCAGTATAGAAAACAACATGGAGGCCTGTCATTATTCATAGTTATCCAAGTTCATAGATATTGGTTAAAACCAAAAATATCAAAAAAACGTTAGCAATTTAATAATACACACTGCCCGTCAACAAAAGATTGTTAAAAAGTTCAAAACACACACAGCTGTTTTATCATAGATTCATAAAAATAGTTTATATATTGAAGGAAAATAACATTGTCAACCAGGCAACAGAAGAACCAATAACACCTAAGCTGCAGTGCCAACTGCGTAGACAAATAAAATACCTTTAAAACGATCATCAGGATATACAGGACAGTCAAAATAGACCAGTCCTCGTCGGTAAAGTCCTTTGATCACTTCAGGGTCAAAAAGAATAAATGAATTCACTTCTTCCCTACATATTTTATCAATTGTGGCCATTTCTTCTTCAGTCAGTTTCTGCAGAAAGTGGAGCATATGAATAAGACAACAGATCCCATCCCAATCATAATGAAAGTGAGGATATGGAGCTAATTACTCATAAATGTTAAGAGCCACCAAATAGACTTAACCTTAAATTCTTCCAACGTAAAATTGACAAGACAAACTCCCCACCACGGCTCAATTACAAAATCCACTGGTTGGGTAGGCAATAGTTCCTTGGCAATTGATTTGTTCAGCTTCCACATAATTTTCTGACAAGCTCCAAACCATTTGTACTAAGTTAGGGAAATAAGAAAAAGACGACAATACCTTGGCATACTACTACATGAACAGAAATATATGGAAACATTCATTTGTAAAAACATCCAACACAAGTCACAAAAAGCAGGTCATTTGTGAAGGCCAACGCTTTCCAGTACTTATGTACATCTATCTTACTCTAAGCTACACAAAATATGCCTCATTTAGGTTTAGAAAACTAGAGCGGATTGGACAATTCTACTCAGATAGTATCGAGATGACTTCACTATTTTATTGCAGTGATTAATGATACTTCGGATTAGGCATCAACTGATCTTATACCATGGGAAAAGTTGAGGGAATAAGAGATGAGGTGTCAAGTTGGCTTGAAGGGGTAGACAAAAATCAGAGCTGGGATGTGCATTCGAGGTTTTTTTATCCAGTGCGGTATATACCCATGGCTGAAGTGAGTCATATTTATCCAGTACTAACTGTTTCATCAAATAGACCCAAGATTCAATTATCCCCTCATATAATACAAGCACCTGACTATACTAAAATAAATATTGAATGCATGTCTGATACACCTCAGCAAACAATGCCTTAAATAAATGATATTTTCAGCCACTACCTTAGACCTGCACTTGTTCATAATGTCAATGAATTCATTTCTTCCGATCCCTGTGAGGCGCAGTGCATCTGCAGCACTAAAATTTGGGATGCTGTCATAAGGTTGCTCTGCATACAATAAAATAGTAGAATGAGAGAAGAATAACTTGGTTGTAGATACCAGCATATAGAATATTTGAAAAACCAAGCCTCTCTACCTTCACATTAGAAAACTAATAATCCTAACAAAATAATAAGCAGAGAAAGATCAGATGCAATATGTAAATGCTAAGTAGAATAAATGAAAATAGATATGGGGCACTACTAGTGGATTATCATTTTCTTTAAAGAACTACCTCCCTTGGTAAAACTCCTATACATTACTAAGGGCATTGATAAGCATTATGGTTAATGGACTCCGTGAATAAAGATGGCATCATTTTCCTGAGAAACCCCAAACCAGAAGGGAATCTGTATTGAGAGACTTAACTACCGAAGGATTAATTATTATTTCAACCAAGGCCATTAAGCTGCATAATGAACCTTTGGGTGTATTTTCCAAAGTTAAGGTAGCCTGACCGACTGTTATACCGCAAAGTCTTGCATATGTATGGCATAGGCTGAAAGTATAAGAATATGACTAATAGCAATACAATGTGAGTAAATTGCATCATCATCATCATTTTCATTTACCCCAGTGCCGCAAAGGCTCCCACCCACGGTGGGGTAAGGGGGGGTCGGATGTACGCAGTCTTACCCCTGTACTAAAGCACAGAGACTGTTTTCGGATGACCCATAGTGAAAATCGTCCAAAATTGCATGGACTGACTGCTGCTTCATAACAAAGAAGCAAAGAAGCGCAGACAGTTTATTAAGCCATTTTGCTTTATTCCATCATATTCTCAAGCCAAAAAATAATGAATCTTTGGCTTTATTGCAAATGATGGAAAATTGCAAAAAATGTGAGTAAATTGCAAAAAAAAAAAATCTAAGAGGTAATACCATTTTTCATGACTTCAAATATCATGTCACAATAGTATCTGAAAGGAGACACTCGCATCACACGGCAAATGTACTCTGCAAGATGATATGGAAACAACTGCAAACAGCCAAGCAACACATAAGAACATGGATTGCTTGAGTTTGACACAAACAATTCTGTTCAAAGTATTAAAGGAAAACACTACCTCTGTTCCTATTTACAGGGCACGATTTTGGTTTCACACAAACCAAAAAAAAATTACAATAATCTTAGTTGAAATATAATTTTGGTTTCATACTGTTCTACTTCATAGTCTGCATTAACCTCTGATCCTTCATCTAGACTTCATTCCATATGAGCAGTTATGGAAAAACAATTTAAAATTGCATAGATATTATTCAAATGGCTTATATTTAGCACTTCCCTGCCGTGACTTATAAATAGACCTGCATGGAGTATCTGAAATTTCAGAATTCTGGCAGCAAAACATTTGAGATATTTAACTTCTTCATGGTTCTATTCACTAAGAAGCATCAGTTTAAGTGGTAGGGTGAATTTTTATAGAGCTCAGAACTCAGAAGATTCCGATGATAGACACTTCAACAGCCAAAAGTACTTCAGCGTTTTTAACGAAAAGTCAGCACTCAGCACATAGATTTATACACCATAGAAAATATACTCCCTATATTCACTTCTAGTTGCTCCTATAGGATCTTAACACAATCTAAGAGTAAGTTGTATGTTTAGTGAACAGTTCATAAAGAAAGCATCAAAAGGCAAGGGTATGTGTATTTCTAGAGATGAAAAGGTATGACTATGAAAAGTTGCCAAAATAAAGAAGTGATGAAAATAATACTACATGAATGCTTGTACTTACCTATACTGCAAAAAGCAATAAAGTAAAATCATTGATATCATTTGCCATCACGGAAGAAGTAAAAACTAAATCATAACTAAAAGATACTTCCTCTGTCCCTTATAACTTCCAAAGTTGACTGACACGTAGAATAATAAAGTAAAAACTGTGTGATAGAGATTTGTGCAGAGGAGAGAAATTTAACAAGAACCACAAATTCTTTACTTAAAATGGAAAGTGACAAAGTTAGTGGGGCAACCAGAAAAGGAAAGTTTACAAAGTTATAAGGGACAGATGGAGTAGTTATCATTAGCTGTAGATATCACATAATATAATTCATAATCCTAATAATCACTAAATCCATCGTAAGCAGCAAAACAAGCACACTAAACTATTTATTCTAATAAGTAATGGCATATGCTGAATCATATATTCTGTGAACATATCGTGAAGTTAAAGTAGCTGCAAATATTATATAATAAAGTTCATAAATCTAATAATCACTAAATCTATTGTAAACAGCAAAACAAGCATATCAAATGCTTTTTTCTAATAAGTGTTGGCATGATGCATCATCAAGTTTCACACGAACATGTCTTGAAAATTACAGAGTAACTAAAATGGCATACATCAGCATGCATATCTACTTTAGAAAGAAAAAGAAAGTCATATTATCATAGAAACGTAACAATGTCATTAATTGATAATATCCAAACTCAGGAAGGAACTCAATAGTAGTTTTGGTGGATGCATGATAATGCAATAGTAGTTACAGTTTCCAAATTACAAAAGGTAATAACAACCAATTATAAAAAATAACTTCCCATTATACACACCGCTAAATTCCTTCGGAGATACCGCATCATCTCTTCATAGAATTCACCTTCTTTGCAAACTTTGCGAGCAAAACAACTATTCCACTGGAGTCTTCTCCTTATGCAGTGGTTGATTATCCTGCAACAAGCTGGTAGGTTAGTTATAAGATCAAAAGGGAACAACCACTTCGGTAGTTATAAGTCTCCCTTTCTCTCTCACACAGTGGGGGATGGGGGCAGGATTAGACCAAACAAGAGCATATGGATAGACCTATTAAGAGATCCAATAGCGGAACAAAAGGAAGTGGATTTTTAATAAGAAAGTGCAACTTCCCAGACAACAAAAGTGCAGTGCATTTTGTGTAACCTAAAAGTCTAATATCATAAAAAGGGCACAATGCACATTTTACTACACGAAATTGCATGCCTATTAATATAAGAAGTGCATTGATTGGAAAGATTACACACACACACAAACACATACGGAGTATATATTGTGAACTCTGAAAAGCGGAAAAAGAGATGTACTGCATTTCTTAATTCACTGAAAGACTAGTCAGATAGGTGTATTCATAGCTACAGCTATAAGTCCATTAGTGCTACAGTTATGGTTTCCACACTCCCCGTCAAGTTGGGGAATATAATGACCTCCACGAGGTTTGGCATAATACCAGTTACACAATGTTTTATCTATTTGATTATTACTATGTATATACTCTATAGTACTCCCTCTGTCCCATTTTGTAAGATACATTTTCCTTTATGTGTGTGTAAAAATATACACACCCATAATAACTACCCTGATTCTGTTTTCTTATGATACAAAAGTGCGGTGACACAGCTGGAGTGAATAAAAAGTTTATTTTTAGCAGTCTTGTCATCTTGTGATTTCTGGTGAATCACTCAATTTTCCTATCTCTTACTTCCATTCTACTTTTCTCTTTCCTTTGTCACTCACTTATCATCTCAGTTTTATTGGAAGAGGGAATCGTGTACATATGAAGCCATTCTTCTCACACAAATGATGACAAATATGAATAAAAACTTTAACTCTCAAGTGAGTTTTCATTGCTTCAGAAACCAACAAGGAGTATGGTGTGTATATAAACACAAATTACATGAATTCTCCTATATTTACATTGAAGTGGTTGTTATGTTTACGGTCTGAAATTCTATATTTTCTAGTCACTTTTCTCCTGTTTTTTCCAAACAGCTCTACTTCATTCAGTTAATAGTTCAAATTCAGTTCCATGCACTAGCATCTAACTCAGGCAATAGCTCCTAATTGACATTAGTCTCAAGCTTCCCTCATAAAGCAAAACATAGCCTAAGTAGGTATAAAAAACAACTTAAATAAAATAATTTGTCTAAGTATAACCATAAACTGCAAATTTTCAAATTCTAGAGAATAGCTTTCTTCAAATATGAAGTTGGCTATAGATACACTTGATGTGCTCATAATTCATAAACACAACTGTAATTTAAGAAAACAACTTGTAATCTTTAGACTGCTTGTGATGCTGAATATGCCTTAGGAGTTTAGTCCCTCTACTTGAAACCATATGAGTAGACACTATAGATGAATCTGTTTCCATAAACGTATCTACAGTACTCGTCAATGGTAAAGCAAACCTAACCTTTTATGCCATTCTTCTGCCGAATTCAAAGTAGCTTGGAGCCGCTTCGGCAGGCTTTCCCAGGGGCATTCTTCCCTGATCGCTTTTAGTATAAGCTGGTCTTCTATAGTTGCCGGAACGTGCAGCATCTTATTAATCCAATAAAACTCCTCAAATATCTGCACTACACGACCGCATCTCCCTGCGAGCTATCTGGACACCATGAGTAGTTAAAGATGATAAGTAAGCATCTCAAATCCAATTAGACGAACTTGAAACGAAAATCAAACTTTATACCTGGATCAAACTACAATACCACATTATGGTTTTTTAAATCCAAATGATTTGAGTGAACAGAGACACCCAGATTACGTCGAAATTTCACCTGTAGTCCAAACGCGAGTTGGCCGTTAAGATGATTATAAGTTCTCGGCCTTTGATTGAGCTTGAATCTTCAAGCGTAAGAGTAAGAGAGGCCTAGTCCGATCAAGATCTGGAAGAATAGATGCTAAATTATGTTTGAATATTCATACGGACGGGGTGCAAAGGTCTTCTGTCCTATCACTCTGATGTCCGAATTAGCTCCGGGGAGTTATGAGTCCGTACAACTCGAAGATAGTATAAGCCATTTTTTGGATTCCAAATGCTGCATAAAATGGCACACTTTTTGGTAATGGGGTGTTAGGTAAATGGATATCAGCCCTTCTTTGATATTTTAGACTGACTTTGGCTGTTTGATTTTGTCTAACTTAGGATATGTTTGCAAATGTTTGTGCTTCTCAAAAAATGAATATTTTAAAAGATTGTTGAAAAAGTGTTTATAGTAAAAGTATATTACTATATCCGGGGAGTTATTAGCTTTCACTTTTCATTACTTAAAAATTGATGCATTTGGTCATTTTAAAAATGAACTTTTTAAAAAAATGAAGTAATTGTATTTCAAATTGTGTTATATGTTCTCACTTACTTATTCAAAATTGGGTTAATGTGTTTATTTTTAAATTAGTATATTTAGCATCTTAATGATTTTTTATTATGTTCAATGTGCATGCATTGGACTTGATGCCTGGATCCGTACTGAATATAAAAGTGGTGATTAAGCATACTATGAACCTTATAAAGGTGTGTGATGGTCAGGGTCGTAGATGAGGGCGTGCAAAGCGTGCCTTTGCACAGGGCCTCCAAAAATATAAGACCCATTTTTTTGTAAAATCTATATAGTTTATATGTAAGGTAGTTATTTTTGAAAATAGTTCATTACTTTGTTTGCCCGAATGATCCAACTATTTAGGTTATCCAACCAAATTAAAGGTAAAAAATTCACTTTTTCTTACCATATTTTCATTTGTTCATTTCCGATTTTAGAATTTTTTTACTAATTTTATTTGTTCAAGTTCGAAAAAGTGATCACTTCTCAATCTCACATTTGTTTGTAGTTTTTTGGGTTCCTAAGGTTGATTTTTGGTATTGTATTGACTTAATATAAAGCCTATTTTGGGAAAGTTCCCAAAATGGGACTAAAACAGTTTGAAAATTCCAAAATAAGACTGTCATGTTTTTATTCCCAATATAGGAGTAATTACTGTCAAGTTTTGAAAATACTGTCATGTTTTAAGTCTGGTACTGCCAAAACATGACAGTAATTAGTCCTATTTTGAGAATAAAAACATGACAGTCCCATGTTTGGAATTTTCAAACCTATTTAGTCCCATTTTGGGTAATATCTCGCCTATTTTTCGTGACTTGCACCGGGTCTCCTAATTTATTGAGTCGGCCCTGGTGATGGTCAATGAGGCTTTGTGTCACTCCCATATATGTTGCAGTAACAAGATCGGGTTTCTTGAAAAATAAGATTAAATTAGAATGGTCATGCAGACATAAGATGTCACTTAACAAGATTAATTGTACTTGAAAGTCAAGAGAAAAGGATGTCATGGATCAAGCCTTGTTTCAATTGAGAATCATTTGACAAAAGAGAATTATTAGCACAATGAACCGCCAGGAATTGCTACGAGGTGTTAGGGTTCTAGACTTTTATTTTGCTTATTTAGTTTTTCTCATGTTTTGTCCTCCTCCGTTGAGACTTTATTATTTTGTCATTTGGTTTCTCGTTACTGTCTGTGTTGTTAGGTGTGTTAGTTTGTTTGGGATTTTTAGCCTTTGTTCATGTCATTGGGTATATTTGGATCTTCGGAGACAGGGATGGCTGTGCCAAGCCCGGTACATGGTTGGCGATTCGTGTTAGTTGCTCTTTCTGGGGTGACCGTCTCTGAGTCTGACCATAGGGTTTACGGTCGTAGTTGTTGGTGTCTGGTTGGTGTCAATTTTGGTTTTCTTTTCATTGATGTAATGATCCTGAAACTTATATGATATGAATAGAGGCTAGTTTTCGTTCAAAAAAAAAGTATAATAGACATTTATTAGCACAATAAATCATTAAATAGGTTTGACATGTATAATAGATGCGTAGTATTTGTATAACTTGGGTAGCCATAATGCCTTAGTGGAGTCAATTTATGGCTTGTGGGTCCGAAAAAATAATTCGACCTACTATCAGCATTATATTAACCTACATGATTAAACGTATAAGCGCGCAATATAAGTCATTTTTGTTTAGATATACGAGATTTTAGGATGTGCAAAAAGGATTTTACACCTGTAATAGGGAGATTTTGAAGGATAACTATTTATATGAAAATTTTAGATCAATTTTAAATAAATATAAATTCAAATATTTGAATTCATCATATATGTGTGAAATGATTTGAATTATAACTCATACATAGTCTCTATATTTTAAAATTTGTTACTACCAAATCAGAAGAATAATGGATTCCTCCCATTTCCATCCCTTTCCATTTGAATGACTAACTTTCAAAACTTTTCTCTCACCTTCCCTTCAAACTCCCACACATACCCTTTGGACTATGTCAAAGAGCATACTTAAAAATGACAAACAACAAGAAATTAAACAAAAAAAACCGCTTTCAATACCACACTAATCTAAATCTGTATCTATATATTATACATTGATAAGTCACATTGCCATGTGTCATTCTCACATTTATCATTGCCATTTGTCATTCTCTCATTTACCATTGCCACGTGTAAGTTTTTTCTATCCATTCTTAGCTTATCCTCGGTGTTCCTATAAGTGTATTAAATGTCTTCCTTTTTTCTCATTAATATTTTCATTTGTATTTGGTAAATTAGGCCATTACATAATAGGTAGGTAGTATCTTAAAAAATAGTCTTTTAATACCTAGGTCCGATTTTGCAGTATGTAAGTTTGGAAAGTGTATTACCATATATAAATAATACTTTAATACGTACTACAATTGTATCCCATTAATTATTATACAATAACTAGTTTATATACGCGCGTTGCGCGTTCGTGTTAATGCCCAAGGCTATTGAAGGAACATAATTCCTCGATTTAGTTTGAGTCAATGAGAGTAATATGAATACAATATTTTTTTATCGTATATGAATACAATATTTGAATACGTAGTTTGTTAAGTACTGATAAATTAAATAATCTTAATGATTGAAGTATTTGTATGCTAGATTGTATGTGGGGGAAATAAAGCAGCCAAAATGACTAATAACCATAGTACTATAATAGGAGTAAGGCTCACATCAAAATATCAAATAGTAGCATGCATTTGTGGTGTTATATGAAAACACAAACACAAAAAATATAGTAGTCAAATATTTATCAGGGTCTAATACTCTAATACGAAGTATATTGAAAGTCACGGCAGAAAAGCACAAGCTGCACCAACAACCTCTATAATTTTGTCATTACAGTGGCAACTTTGTAAACATTTTGAATAAAATGAAGAATTGTTTTATCTTTCACTTTTCATGAGTGGGACAATATTACATCGTAAACCACTTCATGAATGCATAATATACGTTAATGTCATTAAACCACAAACCAACTGCATTGAATATTTGTTGCTCCAAGTCCGACTTCAGAACCTCATCAGGTGGTTCATCTCCAGTAATCATTTAATCATCAGTCATTTGGGAAACTGAGGAGCAAATATAGACATATTATTTTACAATCAGGCCTCCATCAAATGTTTACAAACAACATATTACTCAAAATATGAGCACGAAGTATATTATGAAACTCAACCATTTTAATCCTATTATAAGGCACCTCTTAAAAGGACTCGATGGTTCTTTTCATAAGGCATTGATTCCTCTATGAAGCATTTTAAAAGTACTGTTTAATGATGCATTATATAATGGCTGATTGGAATATAATATTTTCTAATAACCTAGACATATTAACTATTCTCCTTGGTCTGTAATTTCATCAGTTGTGTCATGATAAAAAAAAATCCAGAGTGAGTATTTTATTTATTTGGCTTACACCCTTTGTTTCCCAATCTTGACTTTCTAAGCGAAGGAAGTGCTTCCAACAAAAAATGCAACAACAGCTGCAAAATGAATACCCTGTGGAGTACACAATGAAAGAAACTTTAAAACTGAAAAGATTTAGAGAGATAAAAAAACAATGTTGATTGACTATGAAGTTTGATATTAAAAATGAATTTAACATCATTGATAGTTTAACATCTTCCAGAAATTTAACATGAACCGCAACCGAGAAATCAATTGGTTCAAAACAAGAAAGCACCCTCTCAAGCATCATTGACAGTTTAACATCTTCCAAATGATATCCAACAACTTCAAAGCCCACATATCCAGCAATTTCTTTCTTTCTTTCTTTCTTTCTTTCTTTCTTTCTTTCTGTTTATAACATGAATATAGGCATATAGCAAGCAAAACCGTCATCATTAGAAATCTAACTCATATGATATAACTTCACAAGAAAATAGTTTCATTTCCAAATAGTACATGTTACTCCGTATAATCCTCAGATCATAGTAGCACCAGTCCCTACTTTCCAAGGTAGGTGTCTCTATGCATGAATTAAAACCAGTGGAAAAACATTGACATAATATAATATAGATAAAATTTGAAACGGGAAGGTACGAGCGACAAACTATAATGTTAGTAGGAAAAAGATAAACCTTATAGATTCATGTTTTTAATCACAAAGCATATTAAGGAAACCAAAAGAGATGTAATTTCCATTTCCATAGTAAAAAATATTTTTCCAAGATACCACGAAATATAAAAATATATCACCGCCCAGACCACCTTATATTATCTGCAATAGGTACCTTGACATTATCATCTAAATGAGCTCTCTTAAGCCTTTAATCTAGTAAAAACTCAAGCCTTGCACATAGAACTATCCACTTATAGTATCATTGTCATGACGAGAAGAAGAGACAATATACATGAAAGTTAATTCATATGGGGATTTCAGATTGTATGTGATACATGGGTTTCCAAACTGATATACTAAGCCTAGGTATACTCTCATATTATTAGATAATAAAACTGGTATACCTTCTGGTGCATATAATTATGCCGAGAGATTTAGCTTGTTTAACAGTCCTCTAGTAGCAAAAATTGACCTGAAGCATACTTTAATAACATAGTATTGTTAGCACTACGATTAGTAATATATATTATTAAAAACAATACGAAATGAAAAAATAAAAATAACTACAGATTTTAAACACAGATAAAAAACATTCTAGATAGAAGTTTGTTACTTAGAATCCACAGAAGGCTTTAAGAATCTCATAATCAAAACTAATTGAAT